CTATTTTAAAGTAATGATCAATAATATTATTTTAAAATTAATATATATAAATAAAATTTTAATTAATTTTGCATACTAATGACATTAATTTAATATGGATGATTATCATATAATATATAATGTAGTTTTTAATAGTTGGCATTCAACTTTGAAAGGTTGAAATTATTTAAAAGTGTGTCTACAAGTAATTAGTGGTCTATGTTTTATCTTAAATACTAATGATACACATATAATGAAGATTATAATAGATTTATAATTTACAGGTTAATATGATTATTGATTTATAATTAATATGATAATTGTTTGACTAATAAAATTTGTATTATTGTTTATCTATACATATAGAATTTAGTGTACTTATTATATTTTGGCATATCATTACATTATTTGTTTCTCTAAAATTATTGATGGATATTACTAAACCGACAAATCTCGATTGACTCATAATTGTCTAGATGTCTCTTTTGTTAAAGATTGTCCTTTTTACTACTGAGAAATTTTATTAGGCTAGTGAGGGCTTCAAACTTTCTTGGCATTAGAGTCCTTTCTCTCGCTATCAACTAGCACGTACCCTATGATCATCTTTGAAAGATAGACCGAGTCGATAGATTTCAAGATTAATGAAGTTAGAATATGTGCCTCGTTATTGACATGCATGTGTCCTATAATAAAATCTAGGAAAACGCAATCACCCATGTCAAGTCGAGGACTTGATGTGGATAGGTTCTAATGCAAGAAACCCAACCAGCTAAGTTACACCCAATTTGCAATCATGGCGATGCCATTGTAGGGCTTATTTGGCAAAGCTCCTATAACAATTTCTACTATGAATGTAGAGAAGCTCCACCGAACAATTCTTTCAAAGAGAAGTGATTATATGTTGATTTCATGAAGTAGTTTTCCGTAATGAACAACAAGACTAGGAGCTTTTTTTTTTTGATTTACTTCATGCACATGATTGATCACTTTTTGTCGGTGTTTTGTAAACCAACGAATGAATTTATGTGTGTTACGCTACTCTAGAAGATGATGGTAGCACTCAAAGACACAAGGAATTATACTGGTTCAGGCAGAGTCCTACGTCTAGTCTCAGAGATAGTTGCGAGTTCGTGTTGCTCGGTTCAAGTGTTCCGAAGTCTTACAATGGGGGTGTGTAAGCTAAGGGGTTCAAGGTAGGAGGACTAAGGTGAACGAAAGCCCGAATGGAGTCTCGATAGTTCGTCCTCCTAGAAGGGAGGCCTGGTCACCCTTATATAGAGTTCGGGGGCCAAGTTACATGTGGAGAGATGGGTTCTCCCGACCCAAGTGGTCGAGAGCCCGAGGGAGGGAGAAACGAGTAAACTTGGCTGCAAGCCATCTTGTCTTGTTCTGGCATCGTCGTACGTTCAGGCATGGCCGTCGTTGTGGTCCTGTTCCCCATGCTGTGGCGTGGCATGGCGTGGTGCTACAGTGCTGGTCGTGACGGCACTCTTGGCACGGCGGTGGTTCACCGACTGTCCTGTGCGACGTGGTCTCGCCATGGCCTTCGTCATTGTCTCCTGTTCTCCCGGTGGAGTCATGGCGATAGTGGGGGAGCAGGTTGCCGCCTCTAGGTCGTGGGTCGCCTTTTCGGGTCATGGTGCCGGGGGCCTTGACCCTGGATCGCGAGGTCGAGGCCCTGCGCGGCCTGGTTGGTTTTGGAAGTCAAGGTCGGGGTCATGCGACCCATCCCGTAGCAGGTGGGGCCATACGCCGTCTTGTCGGGCCGAGTTTGAACGGTGCAGTGTCGTACCGGTCATCACCGCCTCCGTAGTGTTGTGTTATCTGTGCAGGGATGCATGGGGATGACGCCTGCCCCAAGATCCCACGTCCTGAGAGATGGCCGTCCTCTCCGTCCTGGCGGAGTGAGCGGAACGTGCCTGTCTCTATCAGGGTTGGTGTACCTGATGGCGTCCGCCCTCTCTCCATCCTTTTCCGAGGGTCAAGACGGGAAGAGGTCGAGCGTTGACTGCGTAGTGTGCGACAGAAGGAGGAGGGAAAGGTCGTGGTGGACCGTGTGACTTGGTGTCCGGCCCGGAGCCTATGTGGCTTAAATGGGCCGCGGTTGTTAGTTTTTGGCTGGCTAAGCCACCCGGGCGGCTAACTATTCGGTGCCATGAAATACCCGGGATATTTTGATCCGACACTTTCTACAAAAGACGTTATCCTCAAGATTTAATAGAGAGAAATACTATCGTCAACATAATCACTTATCTTAGAAAATCGCTTTCCAAATAGATTCAAGAACAGGCGAGCTCTACCAAATAGAGACCCGTACATGCGAACATTGGGATGTACAGTAATCTCTCTTCTCGAGCTCCGATCCGACAGCTAGACATGCACTGGCTCCGGCAACTGTACAAATGCGGTAGTTTGAATGCCTTTCCTTGGCCGAAAAAAATTAGGTCATGTGTACCCATCATGTGCACTGTGCACATGCACACTGAGACGCGCCTCAACTTTGCAAGAAAAACGGCATTGGCCTAGTCGAGATGATCTATATATGCGGGGTTAGCTCGTGCCTTTTTCCGATCAAATTCCAATTAGCTTCTACTTCAATTCCAGGAGTAGTAAATAATTATCGACGACGTTTTATTCCTTCACCGGATCAAAATTTGCACTGAGCAACAATGAAGGCCAACGACAAGCTAATTATGAAACTCACATATATAGCAGGTGCAAACATTAGGGATATGCTATATCTACTCAATCTGTCCTAAAAAATGATGTTTTAGTTTGTTCTAAGTCAAAATATGTACACTTTAACTATATTTATAGAAAATAACATTGATAACATTTGTATCTCTAAGTAGGTTTATTATAATAATATAATACATGATTAATCTAGTACTAATGCTTATTTGATATGACAAACATTGATATATTTTATTTATTTGATTAAACTTGAGATTGATTGAATCCTCATGTGTACACATATTTTGAAATGAAAGGAGCAGCTGACACGCCGCCATGATCTCGCAATATTGAACAAAATTCAATGGAAATAAAAGCCCTGCTGCTAATAACCTCTCCGGTGTGGACTTATTCGCACTTCAAACTGATTGACTCGTATCTATCTCTATCAATTTTAAGACGCATGCACTCTAGGAGAGGCATGCGAATTTTATTTGTCCACCTCCATGAAACCTAAGTAGAAGGTTTGAAACATTTCAAACCTAAGTAGAACTAATATAAGTCAAAAAATAAATTTAGTTACATATATAGAAAATATTATCAATATAATTAATTACACCTTTGTGGTATCATAAATGTTAATTATTTTTTTATAGATTTGGTAAAACTTTGAAATTGATTGACTTCTTGGAAATCTAGAATTGCATTTTTAGACGGATGGAGTATTCACAATGAAGACCAATTTTGTTTCAAAGATGTTTTGTGCTGACAATTTGAATTGAAACTAATTTCAAGTATAGAAAACAAATTTGACATTTAAATTTTCCAACACGGTGTCAAACACCTCTCCGGCATAAGATGTTTATCTCTAAAATTTTACCACACGTTTTTTTCTTGTCAATTTCTTTTTTCCCCGCCAACTATGCATCGACTTCCTCTTCGTATTTCCCATACTGTTGTTTTCATGGTTATATTATATATTGTATATTTCTATAAGAACATGGTTACATTTTTTACTAAATTTAAAAATAGAAATATATAGTAAATTTTCTTTTGAAATTTTTTTCTATATTTTGAATGACCGACCAAGAGTTGACTTGAACTCTCCAGCTCACCTATCACGTTCTTTATGACCAAACCCATCCGGTATTTTTCCATGAAACCTCTCTACTACTAGCCAACCTTCGAGAGGAGTCCTCGTCTTTCCAGCATGCAGGGCAAGTGCTACCGACAAATCTTGGCTTATACTTGGTGCTAATTGTACCTGTACTTCAATCCGGCCGAGCATAACAACGCCTGACATATGTGCCAAACAACCTGTTGGCTCGTTGGTTTCAGCGAACTTATCAGTTATGATACGGTGTTTTTCTCTCACAACAAATCAGCACCAGCTAGGCTTATCAGGCCAGAAACCAACGAGCGAACACACCGAAAGACCAAAGTCAGTGCAGGTCGATCGAAAACGTGGTTGATCTGTGTCCAGTCCCACTAGCACTTCCGTAGCAGAAATCAGCGGATCGAAAATGTGGTTGATCTGTGTCCGTCCCACTAGCACTTCCGTAGCAGAAATCAGCGGATCAGGCGGCGTTGAAGACGACGTCTGAAATTTTCTCCATCTCTCTCGATCTCAGCTTTCCTTGGCGGATCCGATCCGACCGAACCCATGGCCGATCGGTGCTGGCTCTGCTAGGTCCCGTTCGCACCCTATCGATCACGGCGGGCGGCGCAACAGTGCGTAGTGGATGCCAGTGCGAAGCTGCGTGCATGCACGTCCACCTACGCAGGACGCAGTAGGTACGCGTGGCCGTGATCCCCCGCGCACATTTCTGGTGCTCCATCGGTCCTCGTCTCCCAGACCCGGCCGGTGCAGCAGCATGGCCTTGCGCCGTCACCTTTTCGCGCCAAAAAAGCTCAAGTTACCGCCACCTTCACCTACAGCTAGGGCTCCCCACCCAAAGCTTTTGCACGTACAGTACATGCCTGTCGTTCCCGGCAATTTCTAAGCAACACAGAATGTGCTCGTTTGACCTCCCTTGATGTGACCCGGCCCTTCGATCACTAGTAATGCATGCACTTAGTAGTACACTTATATTTATATTATTAGTCATAATATATAATAACATCCTGCGTCAGCTGGCTATATAAAGCCCCACATATCCATCTCTCGAGAACTGACTAAGGCTGCTTGCATTTCTTCTCTAGCTAGCAATTTCTCTCTACAAAAAGAGGGAGGGATCAAGAGGGAGAGAGAGAGAGAGATAAGTAATCAAGCAAATCCTGAGTTCTGAGCTTGCTTCTGATCCATACATATATACACGTAATTAGAGGTTCACTGCACGCATATACCTATGGCGACGACGACGAGGAAGGTGTCCGTCTCCGTCTCCGTCCCCGCCATCCTGCTAGTGCTGGCCGTGCTCTCCTGCCTCCTCCTCGTCCACGGTTTGTACGGCTTGCTCGAGCTGTTCGGCCTGCCGGACCTCTCGCCGGAGGCCACGCTGCTGATCTTTGCCCTGTGTTTTCTCCTCCTCCTTGCAGCGGCAGCGGCAGGCAACCGGAGGGCTCTGCTGCCGAGGGAGCCACCAGCAGCCGACACCTACGGCGGCGGTGGTGGACAGGTGTTGCCGACGACGGCGGAGGAGGGCGCCGCGGTGGGAGGTGATGAGCCGCCTCAGCTCGCCGCCGACAAGGAGATGATGGAGACAGCAGCGGCCAGGAGGGCGGGGCTGCTGCAGACTCAGGACTACCCGGGGTCCGGCGCCAACGGCCGCCACGATCCGCGGAACCCGCACTGATGAGATTGTAGCTGCCTCCCTCCCCTGTACAATCTGCACAACACGTGTAGTCGTGTATAGACCTATAACGTATTGTACGCATGTTTATCACACCATAATTTTGCATATCTATAGACACACATATATAAATGGTTTACATATGAAGGAAACATGATCTAAATTTAATTTATCTCGTGAATGACAACCAATAAGGCTAGCATGTAAATGTACTTGCATCTTGTTTTAGTTTTCAAGTACTAGTATAGTAGTTTGTGATCAATCCTAGCTAGTTCGAAGTTCAATAGCTAAGTTACAATTAAGCATGCATGTGGTACATGTCTCATCATCTGTACTCCTAGAGACCAATAATGAATAAATCAAACATGTGTGTTTTTGCATCTGTCTAATACCAAGCCCAATAGCTGGGATTTTCTAATTGATCTAGGCCAAGCTTTGTAAGCTCATGGGCTTCCTATTAATGCAATGCTTATCTATATCTATATAGGGGAAATTATTTTCTATTTTCAGGGTGTAGTTACTCCATGTGTATATCTCTAGATTTTGAGTGTATATGGCCCGACGAAGTGTATATAGACGGAGTATAGCATCAATCTAGACCATCTATGGTAATACGTACGTCAAGTATGCAAATATATGGTTATACTTATATAACTATAAAGGAATTATAATGATATATTAAAAATATGGGGTTTTTGAACAAATTTCACGTAGTAAGATTTAGAATATCTAAAAATGAGTATATAAACATACTCAAATTGATAAATAATTCCGCACAACTACACAATGTGATTTATTGAAGATGAGAGTAACTACTCATAAGAGTAGAAAAATACACCGTAATAATAATAAAAGTAGAAAGGCTACTCTTGTCTGTCTTTCATCTCTATGGATCAGGACTCAAGATCTATCGGGGACCAATACTAGGGTACCCAAAGAGGAGGGACTAATGGTCGTCGATGATAGTTTATCCTCGTAGTCAAGGGCGTGACTACAGCTCCGATCGATCCCTAGGTGCGCAAGCTCCGCCTCGCCCGACACCGAAGCCGTGGGCTCCGCCTCGCCCGACCTCTGAGGGTTGGCTCCGCCTCGACCGAACTCTGAGGGTTGGCTCCGCCTCGTCTGACCTCTAGGGGAGGGCTCCGCCTCGCCCGACCCTTGGGTCTGCGCTTCACCTTGCCCGACCCCTGGGTCTGCGCTCTACTTCGCCCAACACCAAGGCTGCGGGCTCCGCCTCGCCCGACACCGAGGCTGCGGGCTCCGCCTCGTTCGATCTCTAGGGCAGGCTCTACCTCGCCTGACCCTTGGGTTTGCGCTCCGCCTTGCCCGACCCCTAGGTCTGCTGCTTCGCTTCGCCCAACACCAAGGCTGCGGGCTCCGCCTCACCCGACCTCTGGGGCAAGCTCCGTCTCGCCCGAGCCTTGGGTTCACGCTCCGCCTCACCCGGCCTCTGGGGAGGAACTCCGCCTTGCCTGACCCTGAGGCCGGGGCTCCGTCTCGCCCGACGGAGACCCATACCGCCGCCAACCACTCCAGGTCCAAGCGTATGGCCCTAGGTCAAAGCTCTGACGCAGGGAAGAGACTGACACGCCTCGATATAGCCCATGACCCACGATGGGACATACCTGGGGGTTCATGTCAGGAACAGCATCGGGCGTACCAGTACTGTTCTGCCTAACCCCTGTACGAATACTGACGGGCGCGTCATTTCACCACGACATCCGCCAGGACGGAGTGGAGCGCCATGACCGACAGACGACGCTTGCACATGGCGCCAGTGATGGACAAGGCCATGACGGGAAGTTGTCCCTATTGACGTCTATAGGGTTGGCGGGACCCGCATATAGGAGAAGAAGGACTCGGAAAGCCTAGAACACTTCTTCTCTTTCTCGTTCTACCCTTTTCCCTCGACTGTAACCCATGCTTTCCCTTGGCCTATAAAAGGGAAAGCATGGCATCCCATTAGGGGGCATCGAACTCGATTAAACTCGACTCGTCTTGACTCAAACGCATCACAACACATAGCCGGGAGGCGACCGAGCTCTCGGCACCCATTCGATCCTTTCACCAGAGACTTGGGACCTGTCCCTCTCTCGACCGTTTGTAACCCCTACTATGAACTTTCGGTGCTAGTAACATGAGCAACATCAACGAATTGGACGTAGGGACATTCTGCCCGAACCAGTATAAACCTCGTGTCCTCTTAGCACACCATTCGAGCCAGACGCGCAATATTAGAAATTTACTTGTTGGTGGCAACTCGAAACACCAGGCCTTTTGCGCGTCACGACATCCACACCAGACCTTGAATGGCTAATCGCAATGTCAGCCGGGTCCCGAGCACGCACGTGCGCCTTGGGGATCTGGGCTTCATCGTCATGACGGAGGGAGAGCTGGTGCAGGCTCCCACCGCCGTCCAACCTCTCCACTCCGCCGGCCTCGACGCGATCACTGAGGTGCTGGAGGAGTTGCAGCTATGCGCACTGAGGCCCACGCCCCCAGGAGCGACCAGCCCCTGACTTTGACTACGGGGGGTTAGAGCGCCAGCTCAGCGCCTTCCTAGGACCCCGACCGTCCCGAGAGGACCTGCGTCACCTCACTTTTTCGTTCGCCAACATCATGATGTAGCATGCCAGAGGAGAGCCGCTCTCTCTGGAATACCTCGTCCAGAGCGCCCCGACAGCGCTCCCGTGCGGGCCACGCACCGTGGTTCCGGTACATGAGCGTCTCGGCCCCCACCGTGACGCACGCGACACCCTCGACGCCCGCAGGCATAACGCGCCCTCAGAACAACCTGACGGGGATGTGTCGATCCACCAGGCGCAGCAAGGCGGTAGGCCACGCACCGCGATTTTGGCGCATGAGCGTCTCGGCCTCTATTGCGACGCACGTGCCACCCTCGACGCCCGCAGGCATACCTACAACAATGCAAGGGAGGGGGCTAGCCACGGCTACCACCCTCCTCGTGGCGGACGCTATGACAGCGGCGAGGACCGAAGCCCAAGCCCCGACTTGCCGGGACCTCAGGCCTTTGCCGACGCATCCCCAAGGGAAAGGTGATGCGGGACGAGGACGTCGGCAAAGGCACCTCCAACCGTCCCAGCAAGAAGAAGAACAAACAGCAGCGCGAGGGCTCGCTTGTGGCCACTATGGACCGTAAGGGAGGCCAGAAGTTCACCGAGGGTACCCCAAACCACTTTTGAGAGGCTGCTCAAAGGGCCATGCCCAAACCATGCTTTCCCCATCGAGCACCTATACAAGGACTGCGGCCTCTTAAAATGGTTCTTGTCTGAGGGCTTCAACAAGGGAGAGCATATGAAGGAGACCAGCTAGATGAAGCGTGCGATGTCGCCATCCTCCGCTTTGTCCAGAGCAAACGTTGCGCCGGTACCATGGCCGTCGAGTGTAGGGTCGAGCCTTCAACGTCGGGGACCTACTGCTCTGCTTTGTCCAGAGCAACAAGAACCGCCACAAGCTCTCCCCGCTGTGGGAGGGACCGTACGTCATCGCGGTGGTGCTCTGACCAGGCGCCTACAAGCTTAATGCCATCAATGACAAAGTTTTTGTCAGTGCTTGGAACATCAAGCAGCTACGTCACTTTTACCCTTAATATACGCACACTTTCTCCTATCAGTTTCGTTATCAACTCCCCGATCTTTAGGTGATGCCCGACCCCAAAGAACGATGGGGGTCGGGCCTCACTTGGGGGCTAATAAGAGTGTACCTATCCGGTAGACAGTCTCTATGTTTGACCCTTTCTCATGATTAAGACCCAAAACCGAAGTTTGCGGAAACAAACGCTGAGTAGAACTGGTCGGACTACGAGAAACATACGCCTCGGTGGCTATGGCGCCTTTGCTCACCAGCGTGATCAGAGTTTTTTTTGCACCCCGAGCTTTTTGGCCTTAGCCACAGAAAGAGTTGGTACGCGTTTAAGAGTCTATCCGCTTGGCGAACATTCTTCGTGCCTGACCCCCCTCACGTTAAGACCTAGGATCTAGGGTTGTGGGAACAAGCTCTGAGTATAACTGGTCAGACTACAAGAAACCTATGCCTCGGTGGCTACGATGACTTTGCTCAACAGCGTGATTAGAATTTGCTCACCCGCACCCTGAGCTTTACGACCTTAACGATGGAAAGGGCTAGAATACACTAACCTTTTTTTACAAAATGGGGAGAAGGGATAAAATGTTGTTTGGCTATAACGAAATTTAAGAGCTTATCCATTTATTACAAGTTCGCCACCTGGCTTATCTGTCTAACTAAATTCTTGCGCGGGATGTTCTCATCCTCTATCTCCGCAGGTAAGTTCTATCCTAGCGGGGCAATACAAGTTGACCGAACGACTTAGTCATAGCTGAGGGATGGGTAGGGAGCAGCAGGATGCCCCACGCGGGTTATGCCGACCCCATCACGAATGACAGACCAATTCCGCTCGAACATATCTAGTAAGCGCTCCCTGAACCCGTCACTCGTGCCATCAAGGTAATTCCTGTGCCAGCGGGTCACTCTTACTTTATGCACATTTATATTCGCTATCGAGCCCCCGACCCCAGCAACGGCAAGGGGTCGGGCCTCGCTCGGGGGCTGGCAAGAATATCTGCTCACTAGACATTCTTTATGCCTGACCCCTTCTCATGTTAATAAACTAGAAGCAAGGTGTGCGGACACAAACTCTAAGAAAAACTGGTCGGACCGCTAGAAACCTACGCCCCAGCGGCTACGGACGTTTCTGCTCACCAGCGTGATCAGAGTTTTTGTCCCCGCACCCCGAGCTTTAGCCTCCTCCTTCCCTAGAAGGATTTGGAGGGGCCTACTGCAGAATCTCCACCGAGGAGAGGCTCGCAGGTCGCCCGAGTCGATCGAATGGCTTGAGCCATTGCCGAGAGATGGGTAGGGAAAAATAGAATGCTCCATGCAGGTTACGCCAACTCCATCATGAACGATGGACCTAGACCCCACACGAACATATCTGGTAAAAGCTCCCCGAACCCGCCACTCAA